CAACCACAGGACGGTGGTAGGAGCTGTGGAAGGAGCTGTGGGACGAGGCCGACGAAGATGAAGGCCGACGCGAAGGCCGAGCGGGATTCCGCGAGATGATTGGGATCGGAGGCTCTGCCGGTACAGTCTTCTCGTATCGCATGCCCACTAGGCTTGCGTCGTATCTCAAGCTGGCTCGGCGCTCCGTGGGGGACCGCGCATTTCCAAATTTGGGCGGCAACATGGCGTTTCTTTGGTCGAGTTTGACAATAGCCAAGTGTCTGTGTGTGGCTGTCGGCCGTCAACGAGGCGGCAACCTTTTTTCTTATTGTGTGATGTTTGTCAGTGAGACCCCGGCTGTGAGGGAGGTCGAGTGAGAGAAGCAGATGCAAGGGAGCAGTGCTATGCCGGGGAACACAAACACCAAAGCCCGAAGCTTGGGGTAAGTGATGGAGCTGGGGCAGAAAGACCAGGAGAGGAACCTGGGCAAAGGGGGAGGGCCAACGGCGGATGTTATAGAGGAACAACGGACAGGTCGTTCTCTGGACCAGGCGTTCGGAATCCAAGAAGGAATCCAAGGGAGAGGCTTCGAGTGTCTCTGACGTCGATGACGCCTTGTCAAGGGAGAAGAAAATCCCCCTCCACACTGAGACTGTCGACTCTCAAAAATCGCTGGGGTCCCAAGCTGGTAGTCTCGACCAAGGGCAAAGTCCCCAAGTCTCAGACTTTGGCGGAATGGGATGAGACAGGGCAATCTCGCAGATCCGAACAAGCGAAGCAGCCCCGTGCAGAGATTCAGGTGTGTTGGGCAAGAGCCAAGAATTGGTTGATAATAGCGGCGGTAGTGGTGTGTCGAAAGGCGGGCAAAACATTGAACGATACTAAACACTCGACCGCTAGATTGCTTTCCAGGATGAGACTGGAAGTGAAGATGGAAGCGAGACACGGGATCCAAAGGTCGAGTCGGTCTGAGCTGAGGCCAAGAGTGTGAGGGCCGGGTCGAGGTTGAAGAGGAAGGCACGAGGTTGAGTGAGGTGAGACTCAAGAAGACGGACAACCCAAAGCGCGCGGTCGCCGTGCGTTCCTTATACATATAACTACCAACCTAACAAACGCACAAACACGCACACACGCATCTACATCTTTTTTAGCTCGGGATTTACGTCCAGGGCCACCAAGTGACCGAGCAGGCCGGTCAAACGCACGCAGACTCACAGTGAGTGAGAAAAAAAACGACATAATTTTTTACCCATCCAGCGACAGCCACATCATCCACCGGCCTCTCGTTGGTCGAGGCACGTCCCCGTTACTCCATAGATCCAGGTGGGCCGGCCCAGCAGGATCGGAAGTGGAAGCGAGGATGCAAAAGACGCACGAGGCGGCGAGACGGTGAAAACCCTCTGGCTCGATCTGGATGGCCGCTATCCACACCGCAACGCAGCTGGCAGCCTGCACCCGCACTAGGCCAGCCAGGGCTCCTCATCCAGGGCTCCTCATCCAAGACGACGACGACGCTGGCCCGAGGATAGGACGCCTAACAACTCATCAACGTCTCGTCACGCACGTACGGTCGGTCTGGTCTTGTACTGTACCTGACGCATCACGCGCACGCACCAGGGCCGGGGCCGAGGTCAGGCCAGACTTGGGTTCAGGTACTATGGCCTCTCAGTGGACATTCTGAGGAATACCGACTCTCTCTACAATCTACGTGAGGCATACCATCGGCCAAACGCATTGCAACCCTTCCTGCGCAATAATGCAGCTAAGAAGGCTGTTTGGGTGCGGGTGAGCGTCGTCGGTAACGGACCAGTCGATAGCCTCCCCAGGCTGCCTCCATCCGTTCCCCGGACAGATAGAGTTAAGAGGCTTTCAGATGATGGAGGGATTTTCCATCCTGTTTCCTTTTCCTCATCTCAATCGGATCTGGTGAGACACACACCGTTACCCAGCCCAGTGTCATTCATTCAGCCAGGCAAGGCTTTTGCCAAAGCTTGTTGCATTCCTGGATGCAAGGGGGTGACCAAGACGAGAACAAAGACAACAAGAAGAACCTCTCGAAGCCTGACAGGGTGGAGCTTGGATGTCCGCCTCGGCCTAGGGCTCCCCGGCCTTGGCTTGGTCATCCAAGGCCAAGGCAAGCCGGGCTCAGAAGCCTGTTCTTTGACAAGTTGACAAGTCTTGCCGTCGAACACAACGGCCTCTGACTGGTGGACGGGACGGGCCTGGGAGAGTTTTGTGACCTATCACACTCAGCCAATCGCCAATGTGTGGACCATCCCAGATACCGACAGGGGTTCTGGACGATAGGGCCATGCCTCTTTGCGACCACGTAGGGCAGGGCGGGACACACATGCAGGGGAGCGAACCTAGGTTGGCTAGGTAGGGCATGGGTCTGCAAGGTACCCGCGACCAAGACAGACGCAGACACGGGCTCAGCCAGAGACAGGACAGACACTTCAGGGCAGGACAGGGCAGGGCTCAGGGACACCCGGCCATGAGACACCAACCAGCATCTCGACAATCAAAAACAGTGCTGGGTTGGGCTGCCCTGCCCTTCCCTGCCCTGCCCTGGGCTGAGCTGATGGACTGAACTGGATTGCCATCTCACCACGCTCGCATTGTTTGCGCGCATTTCCACGATCCGAACCCCTTATTCAAAACAAATCCTTCTAGACTCTCTCTCTATTCATCCATGCTCACCGGCCAGCATCCGTCATCAGCCACCTCACCATACAGAAAGTCTACTTGCGGCTCAGGATGGCTTACTAAAAGCAGCATCTCAAGAAAACCACGCAAACACGATACGATACGATACGATGCGACTCAGGAAAGCCGCCTTCTCGGGGACTTGGGATAACGCTCCCGCCACCATTGAATCAGTTTCCTTCCGTCAAGTCCGGATGTAGACCTAATCTTGGACAATACGACCCGGATCAAACTTTGTTTTTCCCGAGACGTGGTTCATCAACAACTCGCCCGTCATCCTGCGCCGCGTCTTTCCATGATTGTCGAGGCGCGATGCTGACTGCGTCCTGCCCGGTTCTTTGTGGCTGCTTCGGATGCCTCTTCTCGGACCGATCTTGATGCCAGAGTCCGTCATCATCTTGTCACTTTTTCAATCTCGAAACAAAACCTTCTATTACGCCACCCTCACTAACTAATTCCTTTGTCCTCAACGATATCCCCTAACCAGCTGAACTGGTCTAATCATGTATCACTTTGATCAGCGCCCACCTCGAGCAAACCTTAAAGGACTGCTCCCCCTCCTACTCAACAGACCTGAACTCTCTTTTTTTCTTTCACCGATATCAGATCAGAGAGATCTGGTCCCGGCAGAGAAAGCCGAGACACGGGCAGTCTGGCCTCGCATGCCTGTCTCAGCCATTCCCACAACGGGACTGATGGTTGGCGAGCATCCGCGTATGCCCTGGTTGATCTACCCGTCTCCCGAACCTAGCGAAGCTTCCCTGCTAGGATCCAAACCAGGATCATTATCTGCCCTGGTCAGCTTAGCTAGGTATGGACGGAGGGCACCGAAAACACAGTAAAAGTGAAATGGACGAAATGAATGAAACTCTGAAGGAACAAAGGCCCATCCTCGAGAAGGGGTCTATCCATGGCAGGTTGGCCACACTTGAGCCACAGGAAAAGGAGAGCACAAATCACTAAGGATGGGGAAAACCCGCGGCCGGCCACTTCTCGCGTGGCCACCCATGCCTCTCTGTCTCCCTCCGTTGGGCTCCCGCAGTCCACGTTTCCCACAGACCATGCCGGGACCCTCCCTTCCGCCCCCGGCCCTGGTGTGCCAACTCATCCCGACATCCACCCGGAGCCCAGCCCGTTGAGCCTCCCCCCCTGCTGCTTTCACCCTTTTTTGCATCCTCCTCCGCGTTCGTCTCCTTCTTTTCATCGCGTGGTAGTGGAGACCCCAATGCCCGGAGTTGGGATGACGGCGGTGAGATCTTCCTTCAGTCCTTCTATTGCTTCCCCCCCGGGAACAAACGGATCAGGTCTGTCGAGCAAGGACCAGGGAAGACCAGTGCATCGGCTCCCTTGTGTGTACAGATGTAGGGCACGAACAACGCACAATGGCACGCTGCGGGAGGCGGAAAACTAGCATCTGCACCGCGGCCGTTGGGACACGGGGCAAAGGGGGAGACAAGAAAAAAGTTTACTCCGGCCGCACACGGCGTGCCAACTGTTGAGTGCATGCAGCAACTAGTCGACACCGCGTCTTTCTGGTGGATACGCGATCCTTGCTAGGGCATCCCAGGCCCACTGAGCTTGAGCTTGGTTGCCCCAAGGTTGTTGCTCAATTGCTGTGTCCGTCGACTCCTTTCCGCCTCAAGCTTGGCCTAGCTGGCGCGGGCCAGAAGCAATCTAGGAATAGTATCAATGGGGGGTTTGAGGCGGACAGAGCCAAGGAGCCAGCTTGGCTTGTCAATGCTCTGCGACACGGGATGAAAACGGGCAATTGAAACATGGGGATTTTCAGATTTCCACCTCGACAACTCCATACGCCTGAGCCGAGCTATACAATCTCGCGCTAACTCTACCTCGCTTCTTCTCCCCTCTCGCCTCGCTCGTCTGCCTTTCCCGGTCGTCTTGTCCAATGCCCCCGGATATTGGCGCTCTTGTTTCCCCCCCCGTGGTCCTGGCCACCTCGACAACATGGCCGCATATGTGTGTGTGGTGTGTGCCCGCCACCTCGGGATGGCTGGCCAAGCTTCTCCCCCGCTGCCAACGCTCCTCTTGTCCCTTGCAGCTTGCATCGCAAATTTTCATCCTCATCGAGTCGAATCGCCGGGGGACCTAATACTCGCACGCTGGCTCGTGTGGGGGTTTCTGCTTCGTAGACCCTGCTCTTTCGCTTCTCCTATCTCGACTCGGTGTCGAGGAACAGTGCCCAAGAACTCTCCCTTGGTGCAGGCCAGTAGAACCCCGGCGGTCCCCTTTAGGTCCTCGAGCGTCTCGCTGGATGGCCCCTTGAGCCTATAATGACCGTGGCCCATGTCTTCCTTTCAGACTTCCTCATTCTCCCAGTCCGCCTCTCCAAACATGGGACCCTTGCGAGTGCCCCCGCTCACCTCCAGCTTTTCCAGGAACTCGGGCGGCACCGTTGGAATGTATTTGCGCTCCCGCTCACGGTTCACTCCTCCAAATCCAGCGCCATATGTCACGAGCATGTCGGTCACTGAGGGCAGCGTAAAGGGCAACATCAGGGCAGGATCCAGAAGCAAGTGCTCAGGCGCGTCGTCATCGTCGTCGGACCATTCGTCCTCGGGAGGGCTCCCAGGAGTCTCTAGATGATTGCCGTTTGACCGATTCTTGACGGGTGTCACCGGGCTGCTGTCCTGGCCCGACCGCTGCGGTGACGCCATTCCACTGCGTCGCCGCTCTCGCTTAAGTGCTGCCTCCTTTTGGATGGCGATGAGATACTTCATGGCGCTCTTGGGCAGCCCCTTTTCGCCCACCTCTGGCCTGTAGTGATTGGCTGCATGGATGAGCTGTTGTGGACTGAGCCGCTTGAGCTGCTGGAGTGTACCCACCAGCGCCTCCAGGTCATCGGCGTCGAGCGACGAGAAGCACTGGAGCCACTGCAGCAGCTGGATCACAGGTGCCAGGTGTCTCCGGGCCGCGTCAATCGTGGTCTCTCCAGACGAACGCATGTCGCTTCCCTCGTAGTGGTCTGCTTGCCTGTTATTTGTCCGTGCCCAATCCTCCAATATTGAAATATTCATGCGGATCTGCATGGCTTTTGTTCTGGCCAGATACTTGCGGTTCGACATGATGCGATTGAAAAGCTCTGCTCCGATCCAGTAGAGCAATTGCGAGATGATCTGAGCCGAGATGACCGAGTGGATGTCGTAAAGGTCGAGCACAAAGAGAGTCGATGAGAGTAGAGAAGTGACGTTTCTGGGAGCTGGCTTCGCCCGCTGCTTGGGTGAGGGAGGCCGGAAACGCTTCTCGATGGGCTCTTCCTTGACCTGAGCCTTTCGCTTGAATATCTTCCACTCATTCTGGAATGTGATGTCCTCAAATCCAGGAATGGTTTCATGATCCAACATGGCCACATCCAATACCTTGTCCAGACGCCTCTCGGCATCTCGCACGATGAGAATGAAGATCTCATTGATGAGCTCAGCGAGCTGGGCTTGGAACTCGGCCGTCGCATGGAAGAGGCCAGCATCCTTTTTGAGGTAGTGAAGCAGGAGGGTAGCGTTAGAGATCCAGAATGCCAGAATGGTCATATCCCACTGACACCTCTCAACGACGTCATTGATATAGTCCATGGCCGAGACGAGGAGCCGTTCAAGCAGCTCCCGGCTCGAATGGTAATGGGCATATCGGGCGCTCAAGAATATCATGTTTGCCGGAACAGGTTTTTGCGACGGCGATCTCTGAGGCGTCATCTTGGTGATGATTATATCGAGTATCCGGTCGAGTTCGTGCTCCTGGAAGACGAACATTTGGTCATGGAGACAGCGGTTCCAATCAAACTCCTGCTGTTCCTCCTCGAATTCGTCGACCGGCTGAAGAATTGCGGTCAGTAAATTTGTGTAGGCAATTTGCAGGGCTGGTTCTCACCTCGGGCTGGTCATCCATGCCCACGTTTCCCAGGTCAACTTCAAGATCTCGAGCACTCTCCATCATCAACCGCCTTCGCATCTCATTCTCGGCCATCTCCTCCTCGAACCGATCCTGCGTAAAGCCAGGGCTGTAAAAGTCATCTGTGACGCCAGCACTTCCGATGTTGTAGCCATTGTCGTGGAGGTAATACGACATCTCGCTGTCTGGGGGGACAAAGTCGAATGCTGTTCGACCGGATGACGTCTTTTGGTCTGAGGAGGCATTGTTGTCGAGGAGGAGTTTCGCGATGCCCTTGTGTCGATTTGTCATGGCCCACATGAGAGCTGTCCATTGATTACGATCCTGCTTGTTGACGTCGGCGCCCGCCCCGATCAGTGCCTGCACTACGGGTTCATGGCCCTGTTCGTCATGTTAGCGACCTGAGGTCCAGGATATTCGGGGATACCAACAAAGCAGCTCGCATAGATGAGCGGCGGTGTTCCGTCTTCGTCCTCGGCGTTTATATCGATGTACTCTTTTGCCTTGCCATTCAATAACTTCCCGATCCTCTCGACATCACCGTTGCTGGCAGCCATGTTGAGGGCTTTTTGAAGTTTCACCTTCTTCTCGGAGTCTGGTAGCTTCTCGTCATTCACAATCTCATCCTCGTCTTCAAACCCTGAACCAGACTGGTGGGCGGCTTGGGCGGCCAGCATCTCCATGAGTCGCGTGTCGCTGTCCTTGGGACCCTTTGTGACATTGTCGTCGTAGTCGGGGTCGTTGAGCGACAGGTTTCCAAAGTTTAGGGGCTTCGCCAGGGCTGGCGTGGTGAGGAACTGGGACTGGCCTGTTGCGGCGTCGTCAGTGACGTGTTGGGCAATGGAGGGAGCCCAGCCCGCGCGGGTTCAGTCAGGTGCGCGGGTGGCGATGGTGATGGTGATGCGACGGACCTTGCCAGCCATCGTACATCTCGGTCTCGGTGACGAGATGCTCGTTTGGCACATGTCGCCTGTCGTCGAGGGACCTGGGGAGGTCAGAGGGGAGGGCTCGAGGCTTGTTGTCGGGCAGGCCGTCGGGGCCGAGAGAGTCCCCTAGATCCATGGCGGAGGGAGGGGCAGAGCCAGATGCCGCAGATGGCTCATGGGAATTTGGAGGGAGTCGCTTCGGAGGATATATTTCGCATACGGTGTGTGAATAAGTCTGCGCTGCGTGTTTGAACCGAGTTGCCACTGTTGGGCGGGGAGATGTCGTTGGGCGCTGCGAACTGATGCCTTGTGGTTGTGTTGATATCGTGCGAGGTGTCGTGGAGGGCAACCTACCCACTTGTCCCTGATGAGACTGGAAGCTCTGGAGAAACCGTCATCCGTCCCGGGGGGGCAGTTGCTCCACGGACACAGCCACAGACGGTCGGGGTACTTTGACTCTAGGTGGCCCCAATATGGGACTTACCCACTGAACGACACTGGAAAATTCTCCTTGTGTCAACAAGATTACTTTTGCAGACATGAATTGTTTGAGATTGAGTAGTCTTCTCACTGCATAACATCATAACAAATATTCATTTAATTTTCATCGTCGACACTTGTTTAACTGTGTTTGCATTGATCTCTATACAAGTTGGGCTCCCACGTCTTAGTTAGGTACCCTAGACAGCACGCTTGCCAAATGCGCGCAATCGCTTCACTCCGCCGTCGGGGATCATGATAAGCTTGACATGGGTAACCAGACGGTCCTTCTCCCCGTCGGCGCTCTTGAACTCGTGCTCCTGATCCGGCCCCGTCTTGCTCGGAGGCACAAACTCCCGCCAAGCTACGGCGTCGGCCACCGGGTCTCCGTGGCCGGTCCACTCGCAGCCCTCAATGGCCACCTTTTGAGGGTAGTTGCCCCTGAAGTGCGCCGTGTCTACTACGAACCTCTCGATGTAGCCCGGAGCTCCGAGCTTGATGATGGCAAAGTCGGTGTGGCCCTTGGCCCGCGATCGAGCCGTTTCCCAGCCGTCACCCATGTCCTTACCGCGGCCGGGCAGCAGGAGGTTGTCCTTGTTGCCAAAGTGCTGGTCGCTGCACGACACGGCGAGACCACCGTTCTGAGCCGCCGCGAGGTCGAAGATGACATCTTTGTCGTCGGGGAAGACGGGGACAGCGTGGCCGAAGAGTCGGAATCGCGCAATGCCGCCATCGGGGTACATGTTGAGCCTCACGTGAGTGTACTGCTTCTGCGTGGGCGTCTTGAGCTTCCAGCAGAACCGCTCCGAGGGACCGCACTCTTGCACGCCGAGGATGGTCTCCCATTTGCCCCGGCCACCCTTCCACGATGCAACCTCCTCGTCGTCCTGGCTGAAGCATCCCTCGACCGAGATGGCGGGGGCGTGGTTGCCGTTGAAGAAGGCCGTGTCGACCTCGATACCCTCAATGGTGCCCGAGGCGACGCCCAGTCTGATAACGACGTAGTCGAAAGGCTCCGAGTTGTGTCTCCGGGTCTCCCAGCCATCGTACCAGGCACCTGTGAAGACCATCTTGCCCTGCTGCCGGATGGGGGCCTTTGGGTTCAAGAGGTTGGTGGCTTCGCAGAACCATTGGTCTGAGAAGCCGAGGACCTTGCCACCGAGGGCACTGGAGATGAGGTCTGGATTCACGTTTAGCATGAAAGATTAAGCGGTGCGACATATCACGAGAGTCTCACCAATGCATGTCGTGCGGAAGGTCTTGTCAATGTCATTGGCGGCAACGGACTGCGTCTCGACAGTATCGAGCTTGTACTCGATCTCGTCAGCAATGGAAGTCATGGTGGGTTGTGAAAAGAAAGGAAAGGTATGATGATATGATGCAGATGCTCTGACTCGGGAAGTGAGTGAGATTCGTCGGGAAACAGAGGGATCGTCCTATCTATTTAACTCTCACCTAGCCTCGTTGGAGCGGCCAGTTCCGATGCGCCCACTGTCACTGCGGGACGAGGAAAATCAGGCCAATCTTGATGATGGGCTAACTGCTCGTTGCCTGCTGCTCCTCCGAGTTCTTTCTATTGGGCGCCACGGCAAATGTTCTGATCGATGACAGATTCCCGTTGTGCGCGTCTGGGCCCAGAGCGGCAAACGGTTAGACGCAAAGAGGTGCTTGCCCGCCGGCGGCCCAGCGCTGGCAGCTCTGAGCTCCTTTCGCGGCGATAGTCCGGCCGGCCGGGCCACGGCCGAGTGGAGGGGCGGGCTTGGCCGGCGAGTTCTCGGAGCTAACAGCCAACCAGAGAAGCTCCTATGCGCGGGTCCAGGTTGGGGGGAACGGATAAAGCTCTTATCGATAGCCAAGGGTCGGTGAGAGATGGAGCTCTTTTGCTCGATCATATCGAGTAATAGATTCTAATTCCCCCTCCTTCTCCTCCCCGCGTAACCCCAGCTTCGGCACTTTTTATATCCCCCGGGATAACGAGATTTTTTTCTTCTCGCTATCCCCTGACGCGATTACAAGGCTACATGGTGGAATTGCCGTCTTTATCACTGAAAAGCATGACTACCCCGCGCGGTTCGTGAGTGTTTATAAAAAGGCGGCTTCTGATAGGTCAGACTCGAGACAGCCATTCACTGACGTCAACGTCAATCTTGTAATCAGCCATGTAAGGCAGGTAGCAACAGCCTCTTTGTCGGCACAGAGACATTGTGCACTCGTAATCAATCTAGACCTGTCCTTTTCCCCCCTTCATCTACGTCAGGACATCCGCGTCTTGCTCTCAACCGCAGGCAGCAAATGGCTTCGAAGTGAACCGTATTAACTCTTCAAGCTTTGACAAGACAGCTCTTTTAGCTATTTCTCTTCTTTCTGGTTCCGCCTGCGCCGTCCTGCCGAGAACCTTGAGCATCACCAAACGTTAAAAAAGACACGTTGACGACACGGCCCGACACCTCTCTGGATACGCGCAGCAGCTTAAAAAGATGGCGAGTGCCACAGGTATACCGGAGCGATTCCCTTCGGACGCCGAAGTCAACGGCGCCGCAGCTCGCGAGACTGAACCGCTCCTCGGTCGACCTGGCGATGCTGCGCAAGAAGACGGCGTCCCAATGATTAGAAATCTGGTCCTCGGTAGGTCATCACCATCCCTTCAGCTACATCCTCTTCTAGAGCTAATCATGCTGTTTCGCCAGGTACCGGCATCCTTGCCCAGCTCGGCATCGTGCTGCTGGTTGCGCTCATCTGGGCCAGCGTCCTCACCAAGCCATTGATCCTGTTCTCAGCGCACCCGCTTCTACAGTCCCTCGCGATCCTCACGCTGGCCCAGTCCGTCCTGAGCCTGCAACCCACGCACACGGCCGAGCAGAAGCGCATCGGCCAGCGCATTCACGCTATCCTCAACCTAGTTGCCTTCCTCCTCCTGGTGGCGGGTGTCACCATCATCGAGTACAACAAGTTCGCAAACAATGGCCCTCACTTCCACTCGGCTCACGGCTACCTGGGCGTCATCACCTCCATTGTCCTGCTGCTCCAGTACGCCGTGGGCTTCACCATGTGGGCGACTCCCCAGCTCTACGGCGGCGAACACAAGGCCAAGTCCATCTGGAAGTATCACCGCTGGAGCGGCTATGCCATCTTCACCCTGCTCCTTGTCACCGTCGTCACCGCCGTCGAAACAGACTACAACAAGAATGTCCTCAAGCTCAAGCTTTGGGCTACCATTCTCTTGGCTGCCCTGACGCTGATTGGTATTTTGCCTCGGATCCAGAAGCAGAAGCTTGGCTTCAAGGCTCCAAACCAGGATTGATTCGAGGGTTTGAGTTGTACCAAGAGAAGCAGGCTGGCATTGATAGGATGAACACACCTTAGAAACAAAGGTTGGAATGCGGTGGGATTTTTATTCTTTATTTGGCGTTGGAAGATTATTGGTTGTGTAATGGCCTATACATTGGTTTCCTCGGCTTTGGCGAAGTTTTTGATTTGTCTGGGCGAGATAGACAAGATTGTACGACCCCATATCATATCATCATTCGATGCTCGTTTCACTCATCTTTGATCCGTTGTGCCGAGAGTGCTTTGTTTTTATGATCACTTCTTAAGACTCTGTAGCTCGATTTTGTCACCGCCTTTCTCTACGAAGTTGGTATGTGAGGACTGGGCTCAATGCCACCTTTGCTTTCACGGCCTAAGATAGACTAGCCATCCATTGTTCACCACAGTTTAATAACTACGAATGGTTTGGGTACAAAGACAAATGTAGGCTATGGCAAATCATACGGGACAGGAAGTATCTTGAGTGGTTCAGGACTCGCGAGTCATCCTCTAGCCACACAGGTTCGATATTGTGAGTACTCTATGAGCTTCACTATTGTTGGGCCTCAGAGAAGAGTCACAGGCCCTTCCTGTCCTTCATCACGAGGCGGACGGAAATGAAATACCTGCCGAACCGAAAAGTATCCTACAGACTTGCTCTCTTCACGTAAAAACGATCATCTACCCCAGGGAAGGCGAGTTAAACCTTCAGTTGAACCAAAACAGTGAGAATAGTCGAGTAAAACTGTTACTGAATATCAAGACAGTCACTGACTCGCAACTTCTACTTCGTCAACGCGTGTCTGCTACGCCTACTCTTGGGGATCGTGGTAGTTTTGGTGGCTGGAGGACTGTCTACCGAAGCTCCATGCAACAGTATTGACAGGTTTCTCCAGGGTGTCCAGCAAGATTTTCAGACGATTCTCCGTACAGAGCCCTTCCTTCTCGGCCCTTCCTTCTTGAGACTTGACGAAAAACAGACAAGTCATATATGATCAGTTGTCGTGGATATCTGGAGCTCACCGCAGCTCCGACATGCCAACACATAAAGAATGCAACCAAGCTTTTACTCGCAAGTAATGTAGATCTATACCAGACTGAGGTTTTCCAAACCCATGAGCTTTTCACTGGGCTAGTTGACCTGTCAAGTTGTTGTAGACCTGCCAGGGAGTCTCATACTTCCGTACACTGCACCAGGATGCGGCAGCTCTGCGGCCATAATATTGACATATGGTACTTCAAGAATATGCGCCGCAGTCCGTAACTGGATACAGAATAATTACAGGGCAGAAATCTTCAACTCGATAGGTCGTTGAGGAGCTTTACTACTCTGAGGCTCATGGGAGAGACGCGGGATTCTACCACGAATAAGGCCAGGTTGAGCCGTAGAGATACCTACCGCATAAGCTCCATCTGATGACTTTAAGGGTCAATAACAGTCTTTATTTTGGCTATTAAGATGAGAAGGTGGGGATGTACTGAGAGTATCAGAGGTCTCGTCAAGAAATTGGAAGCCCCCATGAGGGGTTCGGCAGCGAACTCCATACAAAGATTCCAAGCTTGTCTATGGATGCCGTCATCTCATGTTAGTCTCTCCTTATGTATGGATGAGCTCTCAGCAGATGTTACGAGGCGTAAATGATGAAAGATGATGCGGACAGAAAATGCTATGAAGGAGATGCAGAGGGAGGAAAGGATACGATCATACCTAGTGTAGGTACGGTAGCTTCTCCAGCATCAATGAGAGATCAGGTGGGAAGCAAATATCAAGGCAATGACCTTGAACTCAGGGTTTTAGATCTGGCCAATATGATCCAGGGTACAAGCAATTGGATTCAAGGGTCACCAGGAGGTAGTGACCAAGAGGTATGAGGGAGAGACGAGCGCTACAGACAACTAAACGCTATATTGGCAGTATGATATTCACCCTAGCCATCCAACTTTGACGGTGGGCTTAAATATCATGACCAATATGTATACTGCTTAGACGAGGCGTTATGAACGCTTAAATCTTGAGTTATTATCAACTCTTTCCATGAGGAATGCTACACGAGAAACATGACGTTCCGTGGGTGATTCACTTATACCCACTTCGGTACATATGAAGTCTTTGATATGCGTGCTGTGCTATGGGCAAGCAGAACCGAAGCGTTCCTCGCAGAGCACTGTGGGCGTTGACGTCGGCGGGTCAAGTCCATATAATTCAGGGTTCAGCCGCATATAGGAACCTGACGTCGTCTGGTGGTCTGTGACTCTTGATCGCGGGGGAAATCAAAAGACGAGGGAAAAGCGCTCACGGCAGAGAAGCGAGGCGGAGGAGAGATCCGTTGGCCCTCGCTTCCCCGAACAGTAGGATTCCATGCTGACCGTTTTTTTCTTGATGCACGGTGATGGTCCAGTCAGTCGATAACCCACATGAGTTCCCATAGCGTGCGAACAAGGAAGCGTTGGATGGTAAAACCGTCACCAAGGTCGGTGCGGCTGTCCGCGTCCGCGTCCGCGTGCTCCCTTCCACCACACGCGAGGCCAAGCGAGGGTGAGGGCGGTGGTGGCTGAAGAAGTCAAGCAAGGGGTAAGTTGTCCCGCAGAGAGACAAGATGGGATTCTAGAAGTATTTTCCGATTCCCGTGGGCCTGAGAGGCTGGCTACCATCGCCAATGCATCGAGGAACAAGGCAAGGCCCTGTATCCTTGTCCCCGTTGGTGATGGAAGCAAAGAAAGCATGGTCTAGTGTGATTCTTGACATGCCCCGCCCGCTTTCTAGAACCAGGTTTCTGGTCTTTAGTCCCGGGGACGATGCTTGTTCGCCTGTTGTGCTGCGGTGCGGCTGTGGAGATTACCCCCGAGTCCCTCAAGTTCAGCATCCACGTTGACTCGTCGTCGAAACTTGCTTTAACCAACCAGAGATCAGTCTTTGCTTCCCTGACAACCTGCCATGGAGAACCGAGATGAGAAGACGCAACTCATTTTCCACTTCCAGGAAGTATCAATGGTACCTATGTTGGCGCTATATGCATGGAACCTAATGTAGACCGGTAGACCTAGCCATAGTGTTAGCCAGCTGAATCAAAAATCGGCTTGAACGGCGCCATTTATCGATCTAGTGCGAATAGGTCGCTTTGGTTCGACATATGCCATGGCAAGGACAAATATCGCATGTCTTGAAAGAACTGTCATGTCAACCTCAGTCCGAGTATACGTAGTACCATTGAAAGTGAGTGAAGTTCCTGACGAGTATATAAAAATAAGGTTATCGGCACTTGATTCAAGTTCACCAATACGAAGTTTCGTCGGGTATCTTGCCTGTTATAGTCATACGGCCCTGAGTTCCTCCTCAAAGTTGCAGAGACGACATGGGAGTGCTTGTCAACGGTCCATCCATGCCGCCATGGCCATTAGGCGAAGAAAAAGGCTGTAGCCCAAGAACCCGGAAACTCGGGGCGCCAGGCCCAGAGAAGCTGGAAGTAGAATGACGAACGGGAGCCAATCCCTGCTTGGTCCAATGAGGCATCGACGGAAGACCTGCAGAGCGGAGCTATTCCCGGGCCCTGTCTATAACGGGCAGACATGATTCGACGGGCTTGGACTACCCTGAACCATTGAGATTGAGAGCAAAGGCTCTGTCAGGTCACCCGTCCGCCCTGCCCGTGCCTTGGGGGTCGGACACGTCGTCGCCAGGAATGGTCGTCCCCCAGCTTGGATCGGCCGGATCTTTGGTGGCGCTCCACTTGACGTCAGAGTGCCTCCTCGACACGCAGACGTCATGCGAAAGCGCCTCTCAAACCGGCTGCTGCTTCAGGCGACGGTGGGCGCACGAGACTCTGAGACAAGCAGCAAAATGGGTTGAAAAGAGAGAGTTATGTGGCACATGGCCATGATGTGCAACGGCAACGACAGGCACGAGCCAGCAGCTGAGCGGTCGTGAAACAACACGGGATAGATGCCCATTCCAGATAACAGACGAATCTCGGGTCCATCAGCATCAGAGTGCGTGCTTTGCCGTCAGCAGCGCTCCTCGTTCAAGCGCACGAGTCGCAAGATGCAGGCAGTACACACGTACAGTATGTAGCCCTATACGGGACTGAGTACAAACAGAAAAGAAAAGAAAACCTGGCTTCAAAACGTCTGCCTGCTTCTCTTCTCGTGACGGGAACTGTCGCTCCATGAGCTGCTACCAAGTGGGGAGCTCCTCTTCTCGCGCCGCGAAAAGAGGCCGTAGCTGGCCGTCGCGGAAACGGATGCTCACCACGCGGTTATCTTGGGCGCTTGGCAAGCCCATCGTCGCGGTCCGTCTCACGCCTTGCGGGAACACAGGTGGTGGATTCATCCAGATGCTCAGTCAAGGCCATGTCAAATAGATAACCCCAGCAATGTTCCATTCGCCAGTGCAGGGGAGAAGATTGCCCGTCGACGTTTTTAGCAAGCACCAAACCAGTCTCTCCTCCACTGTCTTGGTGGTAATTGTTTTTTTCTCGCTTCTCCGGCTGCATTCCGCCTGCCCACAGCCCGCGTGGCATGCCGAGCCTCCCAATCTGGTCGACTAGGAAATTTGAAATTGAGGGCTGACCCCAGGGCCTAGGCAAGGCTCCCCACTGGTGAGATGTGCTCCGTCACCCGAGGTCCCCTCCAAATTGCGGCATGCTGTCTTGCATGTCGGTGAGAGGTGCGCGAGGCACGAGGAATTCTCATGGTGTCTATGGAAGGCTGGCTGGTGGGCTGCAAGGCCGCTGGGCTGGGTGCTCAAGCCCAGCAGAAAAAGTCAATTGTCATTTCTGGTGAAGCGGGACGGTTCAACGAATGGCAACGCAAAGGGGAGCGACCAGCCCTGGAGAGGCAGTCAGTGTGATGTCAATTGGGCGTCGAGTGTGGCCCGATGCGCTTGGCGGCGCCGACGACGAATAGGGGAGCTAGAGGGAGTCAGTTTGATGCAACTCATGACGGGCTGGCAGGATGCAGTGATATGGCAGCTGGGTCGCCTAACAAAAAGTCGACCGGGTTAGATAAGAATAGTATGTAAAAAGGGGAAAGGAAGGGCTAAAACAAAAATTGCGATGCGCCCTAGTCGATCTGCAGGCGGTGGTTGCCCGCCCATCAAAATCTTCAGTTGCGGCCTTTGCGGTGGGAGTGGAGGAGATCCAAGAACAGGAAGAGCGTCGTTCTAGACAAGCTGGTGAAGTTGCTTGTCCTGGTAGTTTCCGCCAGAGTACGGATAGCGGGCGAGTTTATGGGGAGATCGG